CTAGCAACTTTACCCACAATAACACCCAGCCTTTGTCTTCGGTTTGTCTGTTTCGCTTGCTTGCTGATGTTTAGAGCAATGCTTGAGCATGAAATGGCAGAAAATATGAAGGGGAGTTTTGTTTTCTCTCTCAACAACCAGTTGTTTTTTTCTCCTGTTGAGTTTTCTTTAGACTGCAACAGTGTCATGTTTTACTATTTAAGTAATATGTGTTTAATTCTTGTGATTTTGACATCTTTTGTGAAAGTAGATTTTGTTTGTAGACAAAAGAAAAAGACACAACTGTTGCTACTTTAAACGTGCACATTATTTTTAGCTGCAGCACTTTTTATAGGGACCTCAACTTAAATCTAAAGTAGAATATGAATAAATTGCTCAGTGGGATGAAAACACTCACAGGTAAATGCAAAGTGAAGAACTGATACGGTTTTTATTAGGTGTATATTTAATGGAAAACTAGCTCCTGTTTATATTGATTTATCTAAATCAAGTCTAGGGCAATTATTTTAGTAATAGAGTATTCTGTCGATTATTCTTACGATTAATTGAGTATTCTAATAAAAAATTTGATTAAGTGAAATATTGGTCAATTTCACCATTGCAGCAGGATTACACCATCAGCCCAATTTTTCATATTTGCGCATCTCCAACATTTACTTTTCTGTAGCATAAAAAACTAAACTGTAACAATAATAACATTAATCAATAAAATACCCCTGAAACAAACTTAAAAATTGGATGTTATGCTCCTAGCTCTTAGCACTTAACAACCACCCAGAGGTGGAAGTGAGAGTGTTGCGCAACATAAATAATCACCGGCTGCGCTAAACAATAAAACATAACTTAACAAAGCTTCAAAGGAGATTATTTTCCCCGAGGAATTTTAATAATTGAGGTACTCAAATCATTTGAGGAATCGTTACAGCCCTAATCAAGTCTTCATTCTAAAAAAGATAACATTTTGTTTCATGTAGGTTAGGACAGAAAAATGAGGGACGCAAAAATGCTGGTGGAAACTTTAACAGAAGAAAAACAGAAAAGTGTCCTTTTGCACCACTGACAAGACAAATGGTAAAACAGGTATCAGTTGGCCTGTTGCAAAAAGCAATAAATCAATTAATCGCATAATAAATTAAAATGAACTCAGTAATTTCCATTTGCATGATTTATTGTTTTTCCCTTTCTCTCTCTTTTTACCAAAAACTGGATGATAAGTCTTCAATCTGGTGCTTTGGTCTCAACTAGCCCTTTTTTTGACGGATAATTTTGTTTACAGATACTTTATAGTTCATTTTATCTGCTGTTTCTGTTGTTTTTGTTTATTTTGGATATTTAAGATGTCTTCCAGTTCCAGTGTTTGATTAGAATTAAAAATTTATTGATCTTTGATCTTTATTATGCCATTTTTACCATTATATTAGTTGAAAATGATCTGAAATGACAATATTATTGCAATAATTACTGGAACATTTTGTCATCCAGCAGAATATTATTGTGACAAAGCTAGTCTCAGGAAACATTTTTTTCAGCTGCAGTATTCTCCACTTTGCATCAAAACAAAGATGACTGCCTGCTGTGCTTTAGAGAAAACAATTTCAAACACAAGAGTACAATTATTAACAAGAACAACTGGCTTTTTTATAGCAATTAGTGTGCTAATGATATTCCTGCATAAAAATAATTCCCCCTTACATCTCCTCTTTCTGTTGCACTTAAATGTTCTCACACAAATCAAAGAAAATTTAATGCATAAGTATTGTGGTAGCAAATATTTCTTCACAGCTCTGTGATTTGCAATTCAGCCTCCCTAATTGGGATAAAGCTATAGTTTCTATAAATCTAGGTAAACAAGCATTTATTTGCCTGCTACAGTTAGAAATCTTTGTGAAATTCATGTAAATCCACCTAATATCCTCTGAAGTTAAGTTGTGAAAAGCTCAGAGTCCCCATGACACAGTTTGTTGTTTCCATCCGATGGGGGGTGGCGAGATTGAGCCGTGGTGATTTAGCCATCATGTCAGCGGAATATTGATGCCTGCGCAGCTCAAATGGGGAAATTATAAAGCACACGCCAGGAAATGCATCTTAATTGCTGCTTAACTGGGCATCTTCATCAGAAACGGGGAGAAATGGTGGGCCACGTATGATTCAGAGAAAACGGATAGATGAGTTAACACTCCTCTGCAGCGCTCTATAGAGGAGAGACAAATGAGCTCATAAAGAAAGGCTCTAATAGAGGGCTGCTCTGTGAATATGGGGGAGCGGGAGACGCTGTAACTACAGGAGAGTTTTCCGTTTATGAGACAATTTCTGCGTTACGGAGGGATATCCTGTTAGTTTTTTTTCTCATGTGACATCTGAGTGTTTGTTGTTTCCTTTCATTTCATCCAACACGTTTCAGGAGTCAGAAAGACGAGAGCGGTCGCCTCAACACCAAACATGAGCGAGCAATAACCAACCAGGTGCATTTTTCCCACCGCATTCGTAAAGAAGGAAACTTCAGCAAGTTCAGACAAGCTGCTGTTACAGTTGATTATTTGTCAGGGTGGTTGTGTTGCTGCTCGGCGCTCGGAGTTGACACAAACACAGTAAAGTGTTAGCACACCCAGCCTGACCCTGCTAAAACGCCTTTGGGTGCCTGGCTGACAATAAAGCCTTGTTATAATTGGTTTATTGCTGTGTTCCTCCTCTGACTGTGGAGGGGAAGGTTCAGGTTACAGTCACTGTGACACGGGGCAATATTGGCTGGCTTCAGGCACAGTCGAGCAGGAAGGTGTACCTTTTAGAAATCAGTAGAAACGCTCAAAACATGTCATAGTGTACAGATCTTGAAACAGACTTTGGCATGATATTAATTTGCAGTTGTGAAATGATCTCTTATTTTGCTGAAGTCAGGGGTGTCGAACTCATTTTCATTTTGGGCAATGTCAAATCTGAATGTTCTTAAAGGGCCAGTTGTTCTAGAACGTATTGATAAAACCACTAAACTATTAAAATATCAATAGTTTTAGTATTCAATAACCATTTCTTAAAATTAAATAATATTGAACATCTTTTCACACTGATCAGTGCATCCAGGATTTTTGTGGGAGTTTTTTTTGCAATCAAAATCACAGATTTTATGGCACTAATTTAGAAATATTTGTAAGGAATCAATATGACTATTAATTAAAAGCCATATTGATTCCTTCACTGACTATAATTTCACATCAAGTAAGGCTGAGGAACCCAATGTTTTTGGCCAATTTTGAGGAAAATTTTGCAGCAAAAATCTTTTTGTTTTTTTGTGAATTTGTGAGTATAGACCAGTGTTTCTCAACCCTGGTCCTCACCGCCCCCCTGTCCTGCATGTTTTCGGTATTTCCCTTCTGCCACACCTGAATTGCATCTCTGGGTGATTAACAGGCTTCTGCAGTACTTGATGGTCATGCAATCCTTTGAATCAGCTGTTCTGGAATAGAGGCACATCTAAAACATGCAGAGCAGGGGGGCGCTGAGGACCAGGATTGAGAAACACCGGTCTAGAGGGCCACATAAAGAGCTACGGCGGTCCACATTTGGCCCCCGGGCCTTGAGTTGGACACATGGCTTAAGTGGAAGAATGAAATGCAGCATATGAGTTCAAGATTTTTTTGTAGAACTTCTCAACTTGACACCTTGAAATTGGCCTCTGTCTCTTTAAGAAGCTCCAACTCTTTCTGACGCTCCGCATCCATTGTTGTCATCACAACAATGGCTGCTCTTCCATTGAGTATGTAATTGCTCAAAGTGGAATTATGAAACTAAATTCGCTCAATGGAAACACGCCAATTTAGAAAGAAACATACGTTTTTCGATGAAAAGTTCTTGAATGCGGACCAAAAGAGCAAATTCTAATGTCTGCCAAAATACCTACGTCTTGGTTTGATTAAAGTGAACTCTGGTGCAGTTTGAATGCTTATGTGAATGCAGGCGGGCTGGAGACCGATCTAATGGCAGGAAACTGTCGCCGGGCATTCTGGGTAAATGCAACCAAAACAAACTCGCAAGTCTTGCGCTATAGCGCAAGAAATACCTTGTAGGAGAAATCCTATAAATGCTAACATGTGACGATACTCCATTTCTGTTTACATTTTGTGAAGAAGGAAGTTGCACTCGGTGTCTTCTGAGGTTTTCATGTCGTTTCCATCAGTGGTTCTTGGTGCAGCGCCCCCACAGGTGAGGAGGGTAACACAGTTCAGTGTGAAAGTTTTAAATGTAACAAATGTTGCGATTTTGGTCCCCCAATCGAACCGAATCTACCGGACTATGAGGTGTGAAAATGCCCTCAAATCAGTCATCCTTTTGTTCTCTTGGCTCTTTTGTTGTTAAACCTTTGTAGGTTTTCACCTGCAGTGTCCTCTCCATTCGTTCAGAGCCGCGCGGAGATAAATGAGCCAGATGTCTTCAAAGAGACGACGTGCTTCATCTACAGAAGCAAGACGCCCAACCTGGACAAGATGGCCGATGACCTGCTGGCTGCAGCTGACCAGGTGGGCAGTGTGTGTACTTACACCTGTTGCACTCCAGACATCCTGCACTGATCAGCCATGATGTTGAACTTCTTGTCTGGTATTGAAAGCAGATTTTCAGACTTTTAAATCATTTACTTTGGTGCCGCTGGCTCAACTTTCTTATTTGTTTCTAATTAGCATTTCAGCCTGATGGTAACATATAAGATATTTTTATAGGCTGTTACTTTAAACTTGCACCCGAGAATAGCTTCATAAACCTGCAAATGCCACATTAAAGTTGTAGGAAGTGTGTACGTACATTAATAATGTCAACTGAAACTAAAAATAAGCCAATTAATTATGTCCCTTCTGTTTTGTTTAGCATATATAAGAAGTGCTAAGAAAACCTCTCATATTACTGGTTAAAACTATAGCAAAGAAAAAGGATAAAATGACAGTTGACTTTAAATGTAGAAAAATAGACATAAATGTTCTCCAGTAGTACATAGCCATGTTTTTATTGTGTTTATGCTCAGTGACAGAGTTTTAACTGCAGATTAAAGTCGCACTAATCAAATAAGAAAAAGGAATGATTGTACCTTTGGAAGTTTTTGTTTAACACAAAGCATAACCAATGTGTTATTTTTCTGTCTGAAAAAAAGAGGCATAAGACATTTAACAACTCCACAGTTAGAAAATACGGTAGAGTCAATAGTGAACAATATTTTAATTTCCTGACACTAGTATGAAAACTTGTGTTGAACCATTTTTGGAACTGGTTAACTTGAATAAGTCACTGATTATTTTCAAACTAATAAACAAATAATAATAATAATAATAATACTAAAAAAGCACTTGGATGTGAATGTAACATGTCCAAGTAATGCAACACCTTATAGAAATGTACAGGTGTAGAAAACACACATATTTACTGTAAAATGTAGTGGAATAGTGTCTTGTAAAATTGACGTTTTTGAGCTTTACATCATGTTATAAAGTTATTCCTCAATCAAAAACATACCTGGAGTTTTGCTTTGATTCTTTCATGCGTGTTTGAGAGATCCTTTAATCTCCATGGCAACCATTCAGCGGTGAAAAACGCCTGGTTGGACTTAGCCCCGCCTTCGGGACTCAGCTCCTCCTCAGAGCTGCAGTTTCCAAGCTTCACAACTCCGCCACTCAGCTCCTTCAGACTAGCCAGCAGCAATTAGCAAACAGCTTGTTATAGGAGCTGACAAGTGAAAGGCTGGCAAAGGGTTAATACGATGTTGAGATGACTTCCTGCAGGCGGAGTTTCAGAAAGAGCAGCTTTTAAAGCGACAGACGCCCAAATTTAAGGTGTTGTTTATGTTTCTTTTAGCATCTAAAGTTAACATAGTTACTTGATTGTGTTATAAAATGACTGGAAAACACGTAATGCTGTCTCTTTAAGTGAACTTCAAATCCATGATCAATTCCCTCAGTAGGCCAAACTGTAGCTGCGTTTACACGACTAATGTGCACAAAATTGAAATTGAAATTATGAGATTATTCAAAATTGCAGTGTTTCCATTAGGAGAATTTATTTTCTTACTCCAGTTTGCGCAATTTTATGGTCAGTGGAGACGCAGATGCTGACATCTGCAGATTCCAGCAACGACTTTTGCCCTAAGCAGTCATCAGTGGCCTGAAACTGAAGTGTAACCGTTCAGCTAAACAGAGAGACTTCATGACTTTATTTTATTTTTCTGTATTTAAATTCCTCCACATTTTCCTATCATTTCTCCCTCTGTTTGCATGGTTATTTTCTCCTTCTCTGTCATATTTTCCCTCCCTCCAGTTGAATCCTCGCTGTTCCTGCAGTGAAGTAATTCTGTCTGTGTGTCGTTAAACGGTGCAGCAGTAGCTGTCAGTGACGCTGCTGTTTAAGTAATTCAGTTTGCCTGCCGTGTGTCGTCTCATGGTGTCGGCAGAGACTCTTGTCCTCTCTGACCTGACGCATGATTTCAGCTTCACCACCATCTCAACTACATGCTTTAAATAATTAGATAAATTATCTGCTTTGTCACCTACAAAGCAAAATGTTATTTTTACTGACAAGCTGCTTTTTTGCGATGAGTTCTTATCAGACAGTTTAGTCACATCATGTTTGGCCGTTTAATGATAAACTTCAACTGAAGCTGGTAATTATGCTGCAAGCTGCCTTTTCAGAGAAGAAGGTGCTTATTAGCATCAATAGCTGCTGTTTTTGTCTGCAGAGAGGGGATTCATCCAGTGTTTCTGCAAACAAAAGCTTCCCCTTGGTCACCATCTAATTTGCTTATTATCTTCCCTGTGTTTTCTTAATTCTCTGTCTCATAGCCAGACACATCTCCCATCCTTTTGTTCTGCTCTCTCTTACCTTTTTCTCTAGCTTTACTCCGTCTCCTGGCCCTCTTACCTCCTCTCCCGTCTCCCCTCTCTTTTCCTTGCCTTTATTTCTCTGCTGTTCTGTGCTCAAGAGCTCATGTGTGCTGAAAGGTGTTCAGTAATGCAGATTTCAGCCCCTAATCCCTGTCATTAATTGTGGTTATGGGCGTTATGACAGTTTAATTTTCGACTGCGCTGTTGTGGCGCTGGGAAAATTGGCCACGGGGGACTCCTGGCCAGCAAAGCGCTATCAACCCTCCTCCTGCGGACACAATCGACAGCAACAAAAGCAGCAAAACAAAAATCAATTTGGAGGGTGAATATCGAAAACAGACGGCCGCAGAGGAACCAATAATCCTGCCCCCAGCAGCCCCTCAACCTCTTTCCGGACCCGCTTCTTACAGCCATTTAGTGAAGACAATCAGAGTTCGTTTTCGTGCGGCTCTGTCTCGTTTATTTATCGTCCCCAGGGACGACGCGAAGAGTCAAGAGCACAACTCTCCTTATCCACTTTGTTTATTAACTTAACCCAGTAAGACCCAGACCTGTAATATTTCTCTTTTAAGAAAAAAAATGTAGAAATATTGACTTTTCTTCTGGTTTTTCACCCAAACTTAGAGACTGAAAGGGTCACAAAATACGACAACTGAGTAGTAATTAGTAATTGAGTAATAATTAGTTACATGTACTTGAGTAACGTTTTTGAAAAAACCTTCATTTATGAGTAACTTTACTTCTCTGTACTTTTTACTGGAGTAATTTGATTATGAAGTATTTTTACTCTTACTTGAGTAAAATGTCTGGATTTTTTACCCACTGAATGAAAAACAAACATGTTTTAACCAAAAATCCACCAGACACAGACACTCATTGGCATTTTTTTGTGCTAATGCATAGTTGTGAGTTTACAAAAACACATATTTGAAGTGATGCCAACTCCCACCTGCAGGTGGCAGTATGTCTTACTTCTGCACTTCTGCCTCGGCTTTACTTGATGTCAAGTTCTAGTCTGTGATGAAAAGTCACATTTACCTTCATACATAAGTGAAAATATTACAAAATTTCTTTAAAAAAAATTAAAATTAGGAATTTATTGGGAAAAAATTGCAAAAGGAAAAAAAGAGAAATGCTGGAGGGATTGATCAATGTGAAAAACTGTTGAATATTAATTGTAAGAACCGGCCCTTTAAGAACATTCGTGATGTTAATGTGGCCCAAAACGACTTTGACGCCTCTTCTCTATAGAATAGATGTTTTTCCTCCACGTTACCACCAGTTTTCTGCTCCTGTCTGGATGAGGAGGTTTACTCCTCATCACCTCCTCCTTCGTCTGTGGCTGCTGCTGTCTTACCCTTCCCCTCCTGCTGAGGCGTCTCTCCTCTCGCCCTTTAGGCGGCCCGTCGCCTCAGCTGGCAGCACACTGACCATTACAGTTTGCAGGGGTTCACTTCCTCCTCAGAGAGCAGGGTCAGAGGTCGGCCGGAGGTCTGGAGCTGCTGTGTGGACGCCAAATGAGCACAGACGTAAACTCACACTCCCATATACATGCCAAGAGATAAACACAAGCGACTATGCACAAGCACACATGTGGATGTTTGTTTAGACGCAGTAAATCATGAGAAATGTCATTAAAGGCCACACAGCAGCGTGCGTGAAAGTGCAGGTCTGCACCCCGAGGGCCTCAGGAGGGTGAAGATTGCCCGGGGTCTCCTGGTTTCAGCTGACATTAGTGGGAGGTGATGACCACAGCATTAAGCTCATTATTATATCTGCTTCACACATGCTGAGAGGTCAGAACGGCTGCCAGGATTACCCGGGTTTTTATTGTCAAGTGTTATTAATTAAGCTTAAAAACGACGGTAGGCGTTCGTACTTTTCCAGTGTTTTTGGTCTTACTATGGAAAGTGAAAAGCAGTGAAGGCTTTTGGAACAAACAGCTATTGATTTTCCTTTTTTTTTTTTAATTTGCCCATTTCGTTGTGACATTTAGCTGTCAGTGACATTCTAAACTTACACTTTGATTAATGTCACAAAGAGCGGTCCAGACTATTATACGCTACATGCAGCTGAAATGTTGTGTGAAACCAAGATGCAGCTTGTTTTACCGAGCAGGAAGAAAAGACGTGCGAAGTTGATGTAAACAACCTAATTTATCAACATTGGAGTGAATAATGCCATCGTTAATAGAGTTAAGTAGACGATCTTTTACCTGTAGGGTAAGTGCAGCCATGATTCTGTTGTAAAGGGATTATTTGTTTGTAAACGTCACGCAGCTTGACTGCAGAAAGAGCCGCAGGTGGAGCTTTTTGTTTTTTAGTGACGCACCAATATGAAAATTTGGATTAATATTGGAATCCAATTACTGTTACGGCCAGTAACCAATATTTATTAGATACTATGTTAATCATATTAATCAATAATTGAAATAATTGTCACCTAATTTAGTAATTGATCGTGTTGATCGTTTCATATCGTCAGTCAGTCTGACTCTGAGTCACTCGATGTTTCCGTCATATGCCCACATATTTATTTGAATGTTTCTTTCAATACGTTGTTTTCTCTAAAATAAAACATCTTCTGGGTTAAATGTTTAAAAATATTAAGTAAACACCGGCCCTGCCAGCTGTTGTGATAAATCCTCACTCTCTCATAGCGGCGGCCTGAACATATGGAGAGGCTCAATCTAACTGTAAAAAAATAACTTCTCGTCCATTTACTCTGTAATTAACAGCTTTCCTCACATTTATATGTTGTGTTCATTTT